CGCCATGTTAGCCAGTACTTTCAGGGACCCTGCAGAGGGGCTGGGGGTCTGTCCTGAGCCACCGCGCAGGTGTGGGGGCTGTCACTGCAGGGTTGGTGGCAGGCCTCTGGGGCCACGTGAGAGAAACGGGAAATCCACAGAGTGTTTCCTTCTGCCGCATAAGACCCTCAGACACGTCGAGTTTCCAGACGGCAGCTTTGGGGAAGCGTGTTCCAGGACCCGTAGGCATCCTGAGAGGAGCCACTGCGTGACGCCACGAGGCTGGACCGCTGCCAACAGGCCCCGAAAGTTCTGGCATCTTGAGCAGCACGGGAGGGTGGCATGGCCAGTGCGGGTCCCCGGCCCCCTTCGGGTCTGCTGCGTTGTTGGCCTGTCTGTGCCATTTTTTTTTTTTTAGAATTAATTTTGGGCTGAAAAGCCTCAAAGAAGGCTTTGTTCCTTTGACACTTGCTCTGGAAGAAAAAAAAAAAATCCGTGGAAAATCTGACATCTGCAACGTAGAGAGAAAGCAATAGATGGGAGGAATGTAATTATCTTCCGCTCCTGAAAGAATTTTTCAGATTTTTAAGTGTCTCATATCAGCTTAGAATTTGAATGACATTTTAATTATTTTGTTTTTTTCTTCTTTTCCTGGTTTGAGTCTCCTTAGAGTTCCACTCCCGGATCCTGCAGGGAGCATGGCTGGTGCTCACGAGGTGGGGAGGGGGGCGCGGGGGGTGGTGACGGCCGTGCCCTGCCCAGTGGAGCCCTGCATTTCATCAGGAGCCGCAGCTCCCCGGGCGTGGATGGGGCCTCGAGGAGTGGGCCTGGGCCGTCCAGCCGGCTGGATGCCCTGGGCTGTTTTCATGCAAACGTAGGCTGCAGGGCCGGAGCCCACACAGAACAATCTCTGGTGCTCTAGTGATTTGAGCAAACCCAGCTTCCAGAAGACCTGACTCTTGGTTTTTACAGCAGTTCACCCTTCAGGTCTTTAAACAGCAGCACTCCTGGGTGCTCAGAACCCTCCCTGCCATTGGGGGCACAGGGCGTGTGAGGGCCAGGGCACATGGCGAGACCCTAGAGACGGTGATGCTGGACCCGGCCGTGGCCCCGCCAGAGGCAGCCTTCGCAGTGCACGGGTGGCGGGGCCTCACAGCCCCACCGAGGCGCGTCCGGTGTGGCTCACGTGAGGAGCAGGTGCCTGTTGCTTGGTGTTCCTGCAGGGCCTGGCTGGGCTTTTCCTCACACTCCCCTGCCGTTTCTCCTGTGTGCCCTCTGGGCGGCAGTCACTGCACCCACGTGCTATACTCTAGGGCACGGTGCAGCCTCTGCCGGCCTTCCCACTCCCTGCCAGTCCCATGGGTCCCTCATTCCAAACACGCCGGAATTGGACGCGCCCCTACCCTGCCCAGGTCGTCCTGCACAGACGGTGGCAGAACCTGTTGCCTCCTCAGCCACATGTAACCAGAGGACCCAGCTCGGAGCCCACAGCCCCCCAAAGGCCCTCCCGGGTGTGGTCGGCTCTGTCAGCCTGGCTGGACTGGAGTCCTTGGTCCGTCCCGGAACGCAGGCCTCCATGCTGCTGGGAGGTGTTAATGTTTCAGAGACGTGGCTCCAGCCCGTGATGGGCTGACTTGGGGAGGAGCTGATATTGGGGGCCTGTGGCTGACCCAACCGGGCAGGAGACTGAGGCCGGAGCTGGGGCTCCCTGGAGAGGAGGAAATTCCATCCCCACAGCAGCTCTGGCCACTGCTCTGGAGGTCCTGATGGCCCCCACAGGCCTCAGTTTGTACCCCGTGCTATCGGGACCAAGGCTGTGGCAGATGGGAACCTGCATTCCCGGGGGCTCCTGGGCCCCCCTGCTGTGGCCTCCTCCACCCTACTGTGCCCCACGTTCCTGCCTGAAGAGGGCATCCACACCCTCCTCTTCCTTCGCTCGCTGTCATCCCTGCCCCCGCCCCGCGGGGCTCCCTGCCCAGGTCGGCCTGTCAGCTCTGTCCAGGCACAGGCCGGGCCCCTGTGGGGAACAGATGCCCTGTGTTCCCCAAATTCAGTTTCACGTGCAAACCCTGACCCCAGTGCCACGGTACCAGGAGGCAGGCCTGGTACCCCAACACGTCCATGGAGGAGAGCCCTCACTGATGGGAAGAGGCTGCTACAAAAGTGTCCCCAGAGAGACCTCCTCACCCTCTTCCCACCGTGTGGGCAACGGTGAGAAGGCGCCACCTGCGGCCCAACACGGCTGCACCCGAGCCCACCATGCCACGCCCGCCACAGCGTGGGCTCCAGCCCTGTGGGATAAGTCCCTGTTGCTTCTGTGCCACACCGCCTCTGCATGCCTGGTGGCTTCCTGCCTCTCTGCACCCGCAGCACGCGGCCTCTGGTGGGTGGAGTGGGACCGCACCGTGCTGGGCAGACGGTCGGATGGACCGGGGACAGATGGGTGGAGGACAGGGACAGAGGCCACGGGATTCCACTGGGAGAAGCTGTGGCAGCAGAAACCCTGTCACAGAGGAGGCGGCGCTTACTTCTGCATCTGTGCACTGTCCCCTCTGATGCAGCCAGTGTGTCTCCCACGGGCGGGAGGACTGGCAATCTCTTTCTGACTTGGAATCATCTGAAGCCGTCAGTGCCCCCGGGAAAGCGGAGGGTGTGGGGGCCGACCCCTCCCCGGACACTTCGCTGTGGCCAGGTGCTGAAGAGCCCCCACCCCACAGCCTCTGTGCCCACGTCCCATCTTCCCCAGTGCTGACAGCTCCAGAGGCCCCCGGCAGCCTCTCCCGTGGCCCACGTGTCCTCACAGCTGACGAGTTGTGGCTCACGGGGTCACCTTGGGGCCCGGGCCTGGGCTCCCTTTGTGCCGCAGGGGGCACTGCTGAGACGCAGGTTCACTGAGCCCTCCCCCCTGACTTTGGGCTCACCCTGGAGCACCGAGAAGCTTCCCTCCAACGTTGACCGTGGGGTCTGTGCAGGGTGTGACGAATCTGTCGTTTTTAAAGACACGAGACCTCTTTAGCGTGATGACACGTGAGCTCTAAGAATTAGTGTTGGGGAAGGCGCAGTGGGCGCTGACTCTAAAAAGGAAGCCGCTGTGGCTCACACGCGCGGTTGTGCACTTCACTCCTGTTCATCCAAACAGGCCCCAGCCTGCTCTTCCCAAATCCCCCTTCCCTAGTGCTTCACGGTAAGGTCCCCTCCTCACAGCACCTGCAGTCCACGCCTACAGCCTTCATGGACATTTCGAGTTCCTGGGATGGTGTTCCAGTCGGGGGTGCCGCGCCCCCACCCCATGACTGTCCTGGGGAGGTCCTCCCGTCGGGGCTGTCGCGCCCCCACCCCGTGACTGTCTTGGGGAGGTTTTCCCGTCGGGGCCGCCGCGCCCCCACCCAGTGACTGTCCTGGGAAGTGGTTCCTGTCGGGGCCGCCGCACCCCCACCCCGTGACTGTCCTGGGGAGGTGCTCCCGTCGGGGCGCCTGCGCCCCCACCCTGTGACTGTGCTGGGGAGGTGCTCCCGTCAGGGCGGCCGCGCCCCCACCCCGTGACTGTCCTGGGGAGGTGCTCCCGTCGGGGCCGCCGCGCCCCCACCCCGTGACTGTCCTGGGGAGGTGCTCCCGTCGGGGCGGCTGCATCCCCACCCCGTGACTGTCCTGGGGAGGTGCTTCTGTCGGGGCCACCGCGCCCCCACCCCGTGACTGTCCTGGGGAGGTATTCCCGTCGGGGCGGCCGCGCCCCCACCCTGTGACTGTCCTGGGGAGGTGTTCCCGTCGGGGCCGCCACGCCCCCACCCCGTGACTGTCCTGGGAAGTGGTTCCCGTCGGGGCTGCTGCACCTCCAGCCCTGAGAACCTGCTACTTTTGGGGCTGCTGCACCCCCAGCCCCGTACCTGATGCTCCCTCTGCTGTCTTCCTTGCAGGGCCTGATCAAGATCCGGGGGGACCAGTGCTGGCGAGACCTCACTTGCATGGACTTCCACTACGAGGTGAGTGCACCATGCAGGGTGAGGGCAGGGCACCCAGCCTCAGCCGTGCCTGTCCCGCTTCTGGTGGGGCTCAGTCCCACATACCCAGGTGAGCCGTTGCATCACAGGGTCACCCCCAGTTGACTCGGGACATCCCCTCCTTCCTTTTTCCCAATAGGGTGGTCACACAGGGGCTTGCAGGTGCCCCCTACTTGCTGGGGCTGTGGGGGCGGAGTCTGTGGCCCTCCCTGGTGTCAGTACAGCTGGTTTGCTCTCCTTTCCGCGACGGCTGCGTGTGCTGCTGTCCTCGGTCCTGCCCAGGCCTCCAGGCCGCCCCTCCTTCCTGGAGTCTGCAGCTCCCCACTGTCCCCTGACAGGAGTGTGAAGGGGACTTCCTGGCTGTGTGCCCAGCCCCTGCCCACAGCGCTGTGACTCCATCATCACCTGGAGGCAGACAGGTGTGTCCACACGGGCAAGCTTAGCTCCCAGGCTCATACTGAGTCCCTTCAGCACCCCGCTTCCCACCAACTGCCTGTGTGTTGATACAGGACTGTGAGTGATCTAGGGCTTGGGGTTCTTGTGGTTCATGTAGGGCTGTGAGTGATCTGCGGTGATTGGGGTTCGTGTGTTCATGTAGGGCTGTGAGTGATCTGGGGTGATTGGGGCTGGTGTGTTGAAGTAGGACTCTGAGTAATCTGGGGTGACTGGGGTTCGTGTGTTCATGTAGGGCTGTGATCTGGGGTGATTGGGGTTCGTGTGTTCATGTAGGGCTGTGAGTGATCTGGGGTGATTGGGGCTGGTGTGTTGAAGTAGGACTCAGTAATCTGGGGTGACTGGGGTTCGTGTGTTCATGTAAGGCTGTGATCTGGGGTGACTGGGGTTCGTGTGTCCATGTAGAGCTGTGAGTGATCTGGGGTGATTGGGGTTCGTGTGTTGATGTAGGGCTGTGAGTGATCTGGGGTGATTGGGGCTGGTGTGTTGAAGTAGGACTCTGAGTAATCTGGGGTGATTGGGGTTCGTATGTTCATGTAGGGCTGTGATCTCAGGTGATTGGGGTTCATGTGTTCATGGAGGGCTGTGATCTGGGGTGATTGGGGTTCGTGTGTTCATGTAGAGCTGTGAGTGATCTGGGGTGATTGGGGTTTGTGTGTTCATGTAGGGCTGTGATCTGGGGTGATTGGGGCTCGTGTGTTCATGTAGGACTGTGAGTGATCTGGGGTGATTGGGGCTGGTGTGTTCATGTCGGGCTGCGAGCCATCTGTGGTGATTGGGGCTCCTGTGTTCATGTAGGGCTGAGTGATCTGGGGTGATCGGGGTTCGTGTGTTGATGTAGAACTGTGAGTGATCTGGGGTGGTTGGGGCTCCTGAGTTCATGTAGGGCTGTCAGTGATCTGGGAACACTGGGTTCGTGTGTTCATGTAGGGCTGTGATCTGGGGTGATGGGGGTTCGTGTGTTCATGTAGGGCTGTCAGTGATCTGGGGTGATTGGGGCTCGTGTGTTCATGTAGGGCTGTGAGTGACCTGGGGTGATTGGGGTTCATGTGTTCATGTAGGGCTGTGATCTGGGGTGATTGGGGTTCATGTGTTCATGTAGGACTGTCAGTGATCTGGGGTGATTGGGGCTCGTGTGTTCATGTAGGGCTGTGAGTGACCTGGGGTGTTTGGGGCTCGTGTGTTCATGTAGGGCTGAGTGATCTGGGGTGATTGGGGTTCATGTGTTCATGTAGGGCTGTGAGTCATCTGGGGCTTGGTGTTTGTTCATATAGGGCTGTGAGTGATCTGGGGTGATTGGGGTTCGTATGTTCATGTAGGGCTGTGAGTGATCTGGGCTGATTTGGGGTCATGTAGGGCTGTGAGTGATCTGGGGTGATTGGGGTTCGTGTGTTCATGTAGGGCTGTGAGTGATCTGGGCTGATTTGGGGTCATGTAGGGCTGTGAGTCATCTGGGGTGATTGGGGTTCGTGTGTTCATGTAGGGCTGTCAGTGATCTGGGGTGATTGGGGTTCATGTGTTCATGTAGGACTGTGGGTCATCTGGGGTCACTGGGGCTGGTGTGTTGATGTAGGACTGTGAGTGATCTGTAAACAGATCCCATGACGGGAATGGAGTCCCCCACACTCATCCTACCAGCTGGGACCAGGCCATGTACCACAGACCTTCAGGGCATTGGCTGGCAGGACAGCGCTCCCCTGGGTCTGCCTGGAGCCACCTGAGTTCCCTGGAACAAGGGCCCTTTAGGCCAGTGGTTAAGTAGCGTGACCCAGAAGCAGTGCCCTGCCATGCTCACTCTCCGCACCGTGACCCCGCGCCAGGCCATCACTGTGCCTTCTGGATACCTGCTCGCATGGAGGGGCTCGGGGCCTTGTGATTGGCTTGTTCCTGGAACACTCGGGGCCTGGCTTCTTGATCAAGACACTCTCCTGATACGCAGAAGCAGCCTTCTCTCCCCTCCTGGTCAGAGCTCAGCCGACGCCCCCCTTCCCCCCAGGATACGCGTCAGTGGCCCCAGCGTGCAAGGTGGGAGCAGAGGTGAAAGTCTCCCACCCCAAAAGCCAGACCAAGAGCTTGGACTTGGGGTGTGGGCTGCCCTGGAGACGCGTGTTCGCAGCAGCAGGCCACGCCTGCCGCCTCCCGTGTGGGTCTCACCGCATCCCCAGACACCTTCCAGCCTGAACGGGAAGTGGCACATTAGGCCTTCCGCTTCTTCTCTGGCCTTTCCCTGTGGGCCCTGGAGGACAGGTCCCACTCGGGGCGTCACAGGCCCAACAGGATGCGCGCTCCCCCGAGACCTGCTGCCTTCTAAGTCCCTAAACAGTCCCCCTTCACACTTTCCTCACGTTTTTCTTACTTAAAGTCGTCTTTTTGGGAGAAGTTTGCAGGCTGTTTCCTGAGGTCTGGGCCAGCGGCCCCACCATGCCCTGACCCAGCAGTTCCCTTGGCCGAGGGCTGAGTGTCCACGTGCACAGGAGCTCCTGGCCTTGCTGTGCAGGGTGTGACACTGCCACCCCCACCCCCACGGCTCACAGCCGCGCTCCATGTCGTGTTTCCTTGCAGCCTCCATGCAAACAAAAATAACACTTTGTCCTCCAAGCAAATGAGCAGAGGCTCAGGACCCTCCACAGCCCGTGGCTCTCGGGGCACACCGAGGCTCGTGCTGCGACACCCTTCCGGGGTGTGCACATGGCTGGCTCTCCCGCGCTCCCCACACCCCCACCCCAGAGTGAGCGCCGCCCAGCACCGCCCCACATGCGCCCTCTGCCATCAGGACCCCAACCTCCTCGCAGCCTCTCTGGACCCCGGGAGTCCCAGGACCTGGGTGCAGACTCTGAGGCGTCGGGGGGCCAGCAGCGCTGCCTGGCTCTCTGCGGGGTGTTCATTGTTCTCCCTAGTGGGGTTTCTGCGGCTGTGGGGCCCCATGGCTCCCAAGGGCTGTGCTGACAAGGCCTTCAGCCCTGAGCAGCATGCGGCAGGCCCTCTGCTATGCCAGGCAGAGTGCACATCCCCCACGGCACTCCTCCCACTGCACGTGGCCCTGATCGTTCTGAATTACGGTGTAGGGCAAGCTCCCGCGCTTCCTCCTGACAGGGCTGCCACGTGGGACCCTACATATGGGTCCCTTGGCCTGGGAGGCTCCAAGGTCCCTGTAGCCAAGTCTCGCATGTACAGCCCTGAGCTGGGCTCTGTGTACTGGGCAGGCTCAGGGCAGGGCTCCCATTTTTGCTGGTCCCCACCCAGGTGCCTGTCACCTGGGTGAGAGGCCACCTGTGTACCCCAGCTCCTGGGGGTCCGCCCGCGGGCAGCAGGTAGGGCATTCCCCGACTGCCTGTGTTCTCAATTTGGGCACAGATGGTTTAAAGGTGGTGTCTCTCATTCAGGTAGGGTGTGTCTTCTTGACTTTTAGATGGTGAAAATTTTAAGAAAAATAAACAGTTTGCTCTTGCTTCAGAAACTCCCTTCCCTGAATGTCCTTTGGCTCTTAGCCTGGCAGGTGGGCTCTGTGGGTGCAGGGTCAGGGGGATCCTGTGTGCAGGACAGACGGGGTTGGTGGGCCAGGGACACACATGCCCAGCCCCAGCCCCGCCCCCCGGAATCCGCCAGGAGACTCACACTCAGCCCCTCCTGTCCCCGCAGACACAGCCGGTGCCCAACCCCATGGCATACTACCTGCACCGCTCACCCTGGTGGTTCCACCGCTTCGAGACGCTCAGCAACCACTTCATCGAGCTCCTGGTGCCCTTCTTCCTCTTCCTCGGCCGGCGGGCGTGCGTGATCCACGGGGTGCTGCAAATCCTGTTCCAGGTGAGCCTGTGCCGCCTACTCTGCTCGTGTCCGTAGAGGTGCTAGCCCGTCTCTTGTTTCTGGCTGCCGCTGTCTGGCAGGCCCCTGGAGGGTTACCGGCTCCCTTTAGGGGAAAAGCCTGTCCTCACCAGCTCCTCCGCATCCCCTGTGGGGCCCCACTGCCGCCCTGTCCCAGGCTGGAGGCCGAGGGTCTCCTTCCCAGGCTTCCTCCAAGGTCTGGCTCGTCTCAAGAGCATTTCCAGCAGCTTCGAGAGGCCACATTCTAGGCTGGGCAGCAGGAGGGGGTCAGGCACACCGAGGCCCTGTGTGGACGCCCCACATGCCTGTGATCCTCTAAGATTCTTCCATTCTGGAGCTTTCCTTCCACGTGTTCACCAGGAATCAGGGGGCTGAGAGAGGCCAGGGGGCTGAGCTTCGGCATTGGACAGGTTGCCCCTGCTGACCACCCCAGTCGGTGTTCACAGGTATTAATGCTCCTGCCTCTTGGCCACATCCCACAGTGTCCCCGTCCGTCCCTGACCACAGCAACCCGAAGTTCTGAGATAATCACGCGTAAAGTACGAGAAGGCTTTAATCAAGGCTTAGTTTTCAATAGGACTAATATCCAATCACGCATGATGGTTAATACTCAGTAAGTCTGATCATGGTACTTATTCCTAAACTCTCCTGTGCATAGTCTGTTAAGAAGAATTGGCTGAGGCTTCAGTCTCCTGCTTCGGCACTTAGGAAATTTTCCAGCCACGTGGCAGAGCACCGCAGGCTCTCGGGGCAAAGCTCCGCCCACAGGCGTGGGTGCCGCGCCACGTTGCTGGTGCACGCGGGGGTGCCCACGGTTGCCGGCTGGGTCCTGTTTGACCACATGCACGTCCTGCAGTCGATGGGTCCGTCCCTCTGGACTCGTCCCTGTGGACTCGTGGTGGCGTCTGGTTTTCACCATAGCCTGCTGTGCACACACACAATCTCGTCCTCCCATGGACATGTTTTCACGGGCGCTGCTGTATCGTGAGCATTCGCTGGAAGTTGCAATTGTCCTGGTGGCCACGCCGTTCTTGACCCCGCTCCCTAGCAAGGCCCCTCGTTCTGGCCGTCACGCCCTGAGCAGCTCCCGAAGCGTTCAGCCTTTTCCGTGTTGGCCGCTCGGAGGCTGGTGCTGGTAGTTCCGGGGAGATTCCCTGGCAGACATCGATGCTGCTGAGAATCTAAGTGGGAAGAACTGACTTGCTCACAGAGGGTCTCCATCCAGGACCACGCATTTCTCTCTGCGGCTACTTGGGGCTCCTGGAATGCTTCAGTGGATTCTGTATGGCCACACTTCTCGCGTGTCTGGGGGCAGCAGCTCCTAGGTGACTTTTATTGTTGGTGTTGTGAACAGGTGCCCTTTTAAGTACATTTCCTCCTCTTGGTTGCTAAGCATGGGGTGCTGGTGACCACAGCCTCTCTCAGCTCACCTCTGGTACAACCCATCTGGCCACAGGTCCCCTGAAAACGTATCATGGGCATGATCCTGGGATTCTGCCGATCCTGCGTCCATCCTTCTGCCCTGCTGGGTGGGATCCGGGGCGTCCTGGGTCGTGGGTCCCACAGCAGGGAGGGCCCCCACACCCTGCTTCTCACAATACCGGCTGTGGGTTTCGCGGCTGCTTTTAAGTTCTCTTTTGTGGTTTGCAAGTTATGAATGGATGTTGAGTTGTAGTGTTTTTCTCCATCAGTCATGAGGAGATTATTTGTGCTTTAATCTGTGACACGGTGAGCTGCAGATGCTGAAGCAAGCTCGCGTTCCAGGAGGTTTGCGCCTCTTCCTCTGCAGGAGCCGCAGAAGCAGAGGTGACCGTCCCTCACACCTGGCATGCCCATGCGTGAGACCACCTGTGTCACCAGGGTCTCCGTGGCTGCTCCCCCTTGGGGGCCACAGGACACACAGGGTTTCTACTCCTTCTGAGGCAGTTTTTGTAGTGAACATTTTCTCGGGAATTTGTTCATCTGTTTTCAAATTTGTTGGCAAAAAAGTCATCATAATATTCTCATAATAGAACCTGGATTTGTGAGCGTCCCTTTCTGGGCCTATGGCTTTAATCTTTCTTTTGGTTTTCAGACGGAGTCTCCCTCTGTTGCCAAGGCTGGAGCGCAGTGGTGCCATCTCAGCTCACTGCAACCTCTGCCTCCCGGGCTCAAAGTATTCTCCCACCTCAGCCTCCCGAGTAGCTGGAATTGCAGGCGCCCGCCACCACGCCTGACTAATTTTTGTATTTTTACCAGAGAAGGGGTTTCTCTAC